AAAAGGTCAGGGGCCAGGACAGCTGTGGGAACCCAGCAAGAAAAATGTGCAGATCTTTGCTCCAGCTGTGGGTGTCAAACAGACTCAGCGGCTGTGATTCTAGTTTCTGTCTCTAGGTTAGCTTCTGGACCTATCTGCTATGGAAGAGGGATAGAGTCACCTAGCACAGATTGGCAGGTTCCCAAGAAAGAGAAAATATTGGCAATAACCTCAAGAAATGTCTACTATATTTCCTGCCTGTGTTGAGTAACTTTTGTACTCTTCTAAAATTAGTCGTGACTAGAAAGCACAAAAATCTGGGAAGCTCTAATGATCTCTCCAGCTTCAGTTTCCATGTGACCCAAACTGAAACTATTATTTACATTTGGGGCAGAACAGTTGGCTATTATTATCTCCATTTTGCAGAAGAGGAAGCTATTTGGAACAGAGAACTTGAGTGAACTGCCCAGGGATCTGAGCAGGACTTCCATTTCTAAATCTGATCCTCTTTCTTCTGAATTGTGCTGTCTCTTTCCCACTTTTTTGACCTCATTTTCAAAGCCATTTAATTAGTAAATTGTTTCAAAACTTGAGACATTCTAAATCACGAATAAAATAATTGGTTTTGCTCTTAGGTCCAAATGAAAGACATAGCTGAAGAACTCTTACTACAGAAGCATGAAAGGAAAATCGGGGTCTGGAAGGCAAGTGATATTTGTTATATTCTTCCTCCTGTAAGTCCTACTCCATTAAATTTTTTTAAAAAAAAATTATAAGAGTTTAATTATAAGAGCCAAACTGATGACATATGCCAGAGAGTACGATCTCAAATGCTCTCAACCTCTTCTTGTTCAAAGACTCTCATTGAAGACCCTGCTTCCAAAGCTACCAACTGGCTACTGACACTATTCTTAATTGGCTGAAGGGATCCAGCAGAGAGTGTGATTCAACCTTGGCCGCCTTCCTAAAGTGCTCCTTGACTTGCTTAACCTAGAAGTGTCTGATCGGACTTTAAATATGTATTTTTATTTATTTTGCTTATGGTGGTTTTATTGAGACAGGCTGTTCATTCCAGCACATGGTAGTGTATTTATTATTGAGAGTAGATTACACAATGAGGAGTATGCAGCAGAATCAAGCAGGTTACATTATCTTACATTATCCCCCTTTATTTAGAATTACATTTGAGCTTTAAAAGAATTAGGGTAACTATTATATTGGTGATTATTTAAACCACTATAATATGATCTTATTAGAAATTGCCCATTATGCTTCTTTTTTTAAAATTTTTATTTTATTATTAGTTTCAAGTATACAGTACATTAGTTAGACATTTATATAGTTTATGAAATGACCCCCCTGATTGCTCTTTCTCTCCTCTGGCTGTCCACCTAGCCATTACATTATGCTCCTTAACAAGCACAATAAACATGGTCTTTTTTTTGAGATTACAAATATACGTGTATTCATCCTTCTACAGGTCTTAATAGAATGTCAAACTAGACCCAGATCACCCATTGCAAACGAACAAAGATAAATTTTTGTTTGACTGTTAGAGGAGTGTATGTATCTGCTAAGATCCTCTTTTTCTGTATTTTGTTCTTGAAAGGAAATAAACAGTTCTCATGTTTGTCTTTTTCCATATTTTTATTGAAACACTAAGTAGAATGAGCTTATATTTCATAATATTGTGCATTATATATTATTTTCTGTTTAGTTAAATTACAAGTTTTAGTTAAATTACTAAGTTTTAGTATCTTAAGAAGCAGGTCTTAAAAAATTATTTGCTGAGTGAGTTTTAAATAAACATCCCAGTCTAATACATAGTTGTAGCTATTTATAGGGCTATAACTTTAATATGAACCATATGGTGAGAGTCTTAACTTTTTGTCCAGAGAACACGACATGCACCTCACTAAAATGGTGATAGACATCTACTCACTTTATCTGGGTTAAAGGTACCACCATTCACCATTCATCTAGACTGCCTGGAGTTGCCTCAAATTTTCAGTTTCCAACTCAGATGGGCTCCTCAAAGCCCTTCTCTGTAGAGCATTTTTTACTCCTCCAGGCAGAATTAGTTACTTCTTTGTGTTCCCATAGCACTTTTTACATAACTTTCTTGAACACTCATATTAATGGTCACACATGATTTGTTTCAAGAAACTTACTTTATGCATTATCAGTAATGGATATTTATCATGTGTTTTGATTGATTGTTACTATAATTCCTCAATTCATATTAAACAATGCCTTTGCAATGATGAATGGTTGTAGGCTAAACTAAGATTTGGGGAACTTCAATATAATTTATCCAGTAAAAAAAAATCTAGTAAATTCAATAAAATCTATGTCTTACGTTTTTAATCTGGGAGGGTACAGGGGAATGAATATGTTATCCAGAAGGGTTAAAGTAAAAAAAATAGATGCCTTTCATTTCAAAATGGTGAAAATGTAAAATAAGTAATACCTTTAAGCATTACTAAAATCCCATGGGTCCTTCAGGCTTTTTTTTTTTGTTTTTATATAAAGTGAATCCTCATTTAGAGGAAGTTTATTATTGAAAATAATGTATTAATTATTTCTTCTTGTTATTCATTGCTCGTAACAATTTATTATTAAAATAATATAAATATGTGTCACTGAAAAACATGATCTTTCCAGGACGGAATTATAGTGAAGATCCACAGTAAATTTTCTATTTAAATTAATTGGTAATTTTTTTCTAAAAATTTTGAAAAAATATCTTGAATGTTCAACTGCTTTTATTTTATAAAAGGCAGAAGAATTATATGTTAATATATAACACATGTAACATATGTAATGATAAAATAAATAATAACATAACAGTGTATATCATAACATTAATACTTTGTTCTGTTTAAGCACAGAACTCATACTATACACTAAAATGTAGTTTTTCACCATAGTCTCAAAGTGTAATGATTGTCAGCATTCTTAAACAATGTAGTCATATGTTCTAAATCACCCAATCATTCCTTTTTCTCTCTACCTCTTAAAAAAATGATGCCGTAAAAATATAAAGGAAACAAGGGGAGAGGAACAGAGGAGGAAAGTTGCCAAATTCTGTTGTATCCATGCCCAAAACTTCAACAGCTTAAAATTAAAGAAGATAGAATTTGGTGATTTTTAGTCTAATAAATGACTTTATTTACTTTTTAAAACACAGCTAATTTTCTGTACTCTCTGTTTTGAACAGCCTGTGGAGAGTAAGTGGATATCTTCATCTTGCGAAATCATTGCTTTTCGTAAAGCGTTATTGAATCCAGTTACTGCAAGACAATTTCAACGTTTTGTGGCTCTAAAAGGAGATTTGTTAGAAAACGGGGTGCTCTTTTGGCAAGAAGTACAAAAATATAAGGTATTGTATTAGGAGCTGGAGAAAACCACTTCTTTTTGAGGAGGAAATGCATTAACATATCAGATTATTAACTTTATGGACAAGATTTGTATAAGCTATCACAATTTTGCCGTTTTCATACCAATATGTAAATATTGAGGTGTTTCTTTTTCTATGTTAGATATGTTATTATTATACAATGAAGAGTAAGGGTGAGCCCTAAAACGATAGTACAGATTTTTCAAGGTAGTCCCATATAGTATGATCTAATGTGAATCTTCCTTATCTGTAAATGTACTATATACATTGTTCCGTGAAGAGATCCATATTCAGTAATTTAACTAAGACCTCTTTACAAGAATTCCCAACTATATTCATAGCAAGAGTAATCAAAGATAGTGGATTATAGATAAATAAACCAACAGAGATGAGAGAGGCTTTTCTGTTAGAAAGAATGGCCAAATTCTTAACAAAATAAATAAGTTAAGTAGTTAGGTTCAAAAGCAGTTTATTTTCAGGCTTAAGTGTTTAATGGACTCACATAGAATCTTTGCATTGAAGAGGAATAAAGGACTTTCTAGGTTTTACGATCTGGACTTGAATTCAGGAATGTTGTCTAGAAATGCCTAAGATTAAGCATCCAGCCTCTGCTTAAACACTCCCAGCGGTAGCAGGCTCATTTCCTTGTAAGCAGCCTATTTTATCCCATTATGAAAGTAAGGAATAAAAAATTTAAGAGGATAATGCTTTCAATTGGCCTATAATTTAAGTATATATTATGCAATACTAATACCCTGCAACATATATATCCTATATGTTAGTAGTTAATCAAATCTACTTCCACATTTTTCTAACAAACCATGAAACTGTTTTTTGCCCTTTTCTGTTATCAAATTTTTGTACTATTCTCAACTTAGAAATTTTCTCAGAAAAAAATATTTTGAGAGATGTTTTTTTTTTTTCAAAATCTATCACAAGGGAAGTAATATTAAAATAAATTTTTGAGAATTAGAAAGGAGATAGAGTCTGTTTTCCAGGATAGGCAATTATTATGAGTGGGCAGAAGTATATTTATGCTAATATGAATATGAGTAAGCCCAACCCTGATAAGACAAGAGATAATGAGATAAATCTTGAAAACTAAGTATTAAAAACCATAGACTCATATACAGTCATCTCTTAGTTTTGTGATGATTCCTTCTTTAAGGCTGCCCTCAGTCTTCATTTAGATATCTTTTCTGCATCATAGAATGGAGGATATATAATACTAAGTAGCTATTAAAAGGAGTGAATTTGTTCATTCAGTAAGCATTTATTAAGTATCTAATGTGTCAGCCATTATGCTAGATTGTAGAAATGAAAAGGTGAATATAACACATCGCCTTCCCTCAAGAAGGGAGACATCTATGAAAATAAATAGCATTAATTATGTTCCGTGTTCTAACTAGGTATTCCCACAGAAGAGGGGATGATGCAAGGAGGGCAGTACGTCAGGGAAGTGTCAGCAGAAGGGATGATTTTTAAACTGGGTCTTGAAGGACTTTGCCAGGCGGAAGGCATCCCACTAGGCAATGTCTTACTGAGCTCATTTTTGTGTGGCTTACTCTTATTTAATGTTTCCTATCTGCCAGGGATTATCTTATTGCTTTTCATATATTTATTTATTCTTCATAAGAATTTTATGAGGTCAGAGCTGTTATTCTCATCACATTACAGATGAAGGCAAAGAAAAATTAAGAAAGTCTTGACATCGTATAGCTAATTAAGCGGTAGAACCAGGGCTTTCTGTTGATAAACCTCATGCCCTTAACCACTAAGTGATGCTCCTTCCCAGTAATGACTGAAGTAATATGCAAAGAGACGGCTACAGTGATCTTACTCGAACATTTTCCTCGTTTGTGAAAAATTGGAGAAAGAACCCAGATATTCAACAACAGAACACTGGTTACTTAATTATGATACATCTACATAATAGAATACTCTGCAGCCATTAAAAATTATGCTGTAGGAGAATAATCAATAATGGGAAAGATAGTCTTTGATTTTTTAAAACCCAGCTACTGGGAAACAGTATGATTTAATCTAAATGTGTGTGTGTGAGTGTGTGTGTGTGTGTGTGTGTGTGTGTGTGTGTGTGTGTGTGTGTGTGTGTGTGTGTGTGTGTGTGTGTGTGTGTGTACACATGCGCACACACATGCACAGGGAAAAGACTGGAAAGATTATGTTCAACAAATACTTATTGAGCACCCACCAAGAGCCAGGCTAAATCCTGAGGATATACTATGATCAAAACAATCTTCCCTCGTAGAGCTTACAGTGTCATAGAAGGGACAGACAATTGATAGACAAAGCAATTATAACACTGTGATTAGTGCAATGGTGGGGGAAGCACAAGATGCAATGGACATCTCTCCTGGACTGAGGAAGTCACAGAAAGCTTACTAGAGGAAAGTGTGCTTAAACTGAGACTTTCATGACAGGTAAAAATTAACTAGGCTAATGGTATAATAGGGTAGAACAATTAGAAAATAAATAAATTCTGATTCTGTCTAGATTCTGTTCCTTCGCTTTCAAAATTAACACTGTATAACTCCACAAATTTTTATTTTACAAGCCTTACTTACATTCCATTTTTATAAACTAGAGTCATCAGATAATTATATATGATAATATCACTAGTAATGCCAAAAAAATACATTGTTTGATAACACACCAAACATTATGCATTTTTTTGTGGAGATGCTAAATTAAGTAGAAAAAAAATGCTAACTGTTGTCTCAGTGTAACATATCAAGCTTTTTCACATATAACTTATGCCAAACTATACGTCAAATTTTATATGGCAAGTATTAGAATTTTCCTTTCTTTGACAGTGTCTATAAGACATGTTATTATAATGCCCATCATACAGTGAGTACCTAATAAATGTTGGCTCATTTCTGCCCTAGAATTATATTTTCAAATTTCTGTGCTCTCTAGTGATTTAGAGAACAATGTCTTTGACAGAGAAATGCCAAAATTCAAGCAAAGCTACCTCTTTACTTTAAAAAAATGATAGTCCCACATCTGTGATATAAAATTGGGTCTTTTAAATGTACAATCATTATTTTTACATTCTTTAGCAATAAAGAGCATAATGTAATAGGTTAATTGAAAAAACATAGATACTTAGAGATGCATACTGACACCATCACCACCAGCATTCTGCTTATGTAGCTAGCCTTTTTGAGCCTAAATTTCCTTGGTGTTAAAGCAATTATGGTTGAGAAAGCTTTTGCATGCATCTGTAAGTTCAGTTAGGTGCTCGTTCTCAGTGCTGTCCTAGAACCCTGTGTATACCTTTATCATAGCACTTATTAACTATCTCAAATTGGAGTAACATGTTTTCATGCTTCTCCTCCAGTTGACACTGAGCTTTTAAATGGCAGATACTGTGTCTTGGGGCATGCATACCTCAGTCTCGGTCATATAGCAGGCACTCAATATAAAATTGTTAAATGACTCAAAGATCTCTTTCTTTACCTGGAAGAAGAAGCAATCTGGATTAAATGAAACCTGTATTTACATATATTCATCAAAGTCTTAGGTTCCTCAAACCTAAGAGAAATAGAAGCTATGATTTTTTGATAGCCTTGGCATGTCCCAGTGCCCTCTTTACCTGAAATTAAAATGTATATATTACCTGAAGGATATATTGACACAATTCTATAGAGTGTTCTAATGATACATTAATTATATATTGTTCTGTCTTTCCTACTTGTCCAGGACTTGTGCCATTCTCACTGTGATGAGTCCATCATCCACAAGAAGGTCATGACTATCATCAACTGCTTTATTAATTCCAGTATTCCGCCAGCTTTACAAATTGACATTCCTTTAGAGCAAGCCCAGAAGATTATTGAACACAGGAAGGAGTTAGGACCATACGTATTTAGAGAGGCACAGGTAAGAGATCATGGCATATGGCTAAGCATATTTGAAAATAGATTGACAGTCTAGATATTCTTGTAAAGCTTTTGCATTATCGATATTTTGCAAGGTTCCAATCCTCCTACTACTGGGATTTCTTCTATTTAATTTACAAAATCTTTGCGTATACACCAGAACATAAGGAACTGGTAATTGACATTTTGTTGTTTATAATATACAGCAAATATAATTATTAAATAGTGTACTTTGACTTTCCATGGTTATCATTTTTTTGTTTCTAATTTATAAAACTCCAGCTAATTCCCCGTTCTTTTCCCACCATTCATATTTCCTTTTAAAATATCTGCTTCCACAAAAATGTGTGAAATATGTGTGCCCCAAGATTTGTGTATTTTTAAAGATTGGAATATTCACATAGCTCATAAAATAAGTGAGAGGAGATTTAAGTACCCGACCAACATAAAGTACACAAACTCATGAAAGGAAAACCATGCCTGTTAACCTGCTCAAATTACTTCTTTTTAAGATAAATAATAGAAAACAGTGATTTGGTGAACATAATTTATTTGCATTTTGAAAAGCCTTTTAGTGATGTTGTTCCTGAAAAATGATTAAGAAAAATAAATTATAATAGAGGTAATAGAGAAGGCCATGTCATGATTTAAGTGATAGGAAACAGAGATTTAGGGTATGATTGCCCTTGAGCATGGAAAAAGGCCATTATTCCTTAACATTCATTTGTGAGCCAGCTGTGTTCTAAGTCCCTTAAGGAACTGAAAGTGGACTCACAATCCAAATTATGCATTAAAATAGGCAAAAATGTAGAGGAATGATTGAGGATGTGCTAGAGAGAAATAGAGAAAACATAGCGCCAGAACTGTAGCATCTATTAATGAAAAGACCTTAGAGATCTTGGCCTAGCCCAGGTCTCCTTATAGCTAGGCCCGGGCTTATCCATCTAGATCAAAGTCCTCAAATCTGATGATGACTGTCTGGAGCTGCTTACTCCGGTTGCTTCTGCCATGCTGCCCAGGGACTGCAGCGGTGAACTTTATTGGAATCTTCTAGTTTATGCCTTCTACCTGATTTCTTAAAATGGAGTCCTAGACATATCTTAAATATGGACTCTGGAGCATCAGAAAATAAGAGAATATATTTTTAGGGGCCTTACTCCACTAAATCTATTATTTCTCTTGTGTTTCTGAAAGGAGCTCAGAGAATGGCATGGCTCCTACCCAGGTACACAAGCTAGAGATCTGGTCACCAGCCTCAAGTCTTCTCTCTCCTTCATTCCCTTGTCTCCATATCTTCAGTCCCTAAAATGTATCCCTTTCTCTCCTTGTTATCTGTCATTCTATCTACTTTTCTGTAACTCTGTGCCACTACCTCGGTCCCTATATGCAACATCTCACACTAATTACCAAAATTCCCTGTGTCTAGATGCTCTCGAAACCATTTAACTCACGGCGGACAGAGCCATCTTTTCTAAAATGTATATCTGATCATGTCGCTTCTCTGCTTTCCATTTCAATTACTCTCCATTGTCCTCAGAATGAAGACCATACTCCTTCCTACACATCTCTATCTCCCAGTCTTACTTCCATAAAGATGCCTTATTCTCTTTCCTCCTGAGCTTTTTACAGTATCTTCTATTCCTTCTGTTTTTATAATAATACTTATTACACAAAATTGAAAATGACTGTTCTCATGCCTGACTTTCCCATTTAGAATATACGGTGTTTGAGGGCAGGGACTCTTTCTTATTTTCCTTTGTGGCCTGAATGCCTGGCAGAGGAGAGGCACTCAGCAACATTTTGAACACATGAATGAGTGATGTGCGAAGAGATCTATCATGACAGAAAGGAGTAAAATCAGATTGGAAATGAGAGCAAAGCTGAGTGAAAGAACTAAATAGTAACTTAAAAACTGTGGCCTGCTTTAGTATAATTACAAGTGTAGACTGTGCCTATCCCCCACCCATACCCCTAGTAGCTTGAAAGTTGTCATCACTTAGCCAAAGTTCTTATCACTGGACCTTTTTACTTGTACTAAAGCCATTGTCCACCTGCTGGCAGTGGACAAAGCTCTATATTTATTAAAACATTTTCTTACCCACAGTTTGGTTATCTTTTAAGGTTCTGGAGGCGCAGGGTAATTTTCATGAATAACATGTGTTATTAACCTAAAATCTTAATTACAATTTTTAGGAATAGAGCAATTTTATGTTTGCCTTTAAAATTTTTTCTTACTTGGGTGACTTCTACTGGAATGCCTTCTAGATGAAAATAAATATATTTGAGAGTTGGGAATAACTCAGGTTTTGGAAAGACAACTGAAAAGTAAGGTCAATAGTTGGTAAATAAAGGAGGGAGAGTATTTAAGTTTAAGAAATTTATATAAAAACTACAATGATCCCTGAACATTGGAGCAAGGGATTACCTAATCCCTTGCAAGGCAGGTAAATTAAAAAAAAAGAAAATTTAAGCCTGCATTTATCAAATAAAGTATATTTAGCTTTTGTGTTCACAATCCCAAGAGGCTACAGAATTCAATGACAAAGTTATATTTTAAAAGGAGTACATGCTTTTAGAATTACTAATAAAATCCATGTACAGAAAAGAGGTGTGATGAAGTATGCTAATTCAAGACTCTGTTGGTCACTGCAACATTTACTGTTTTAAAATTCCTCTTTTCCTCTGAAGAGTTGGCTTGAAGCCTAATGGGATGGTTCATTTCTCTCCAGGGCATTAGGGAAAGGCCATTCCTAGCAACAAGATGTTGGACTTGATCTGATGTGGCAAGTCCTACCTTCTTGGAAGTAATGTATGTCTCTGGAACTAATGGAGAAACTTGGCATGGGAATTTGAGCAACAATTCTTATCTCTATAAATATCACAATTAATCACTTACTGTAGTGTGTCCTCATAGAAAGCATTTGTCCAGGATACCACTCTGCTTTTTAAATGTTACTTTTCTTGCTCTCACATAAAAGAGAGATTGTATCATTTAAAAGTTACTCAAGATTTATTCTTAGATCTGCAACTTTGTTTAAGAGCTTTTCCAGAGGCAAAATGGTATTTCCTTTCTCTTAAGAGAAAGAAAAGGGGTGGGGGGAGGGTGGAGAGAAGTTCCCCTTGATGAACTGAATATTTGAAATACTTGCATCAAACAGCAGAGTGTGCGACAGATTAACTAGTGTATGTTTTAAAAGAAAATATAAATTTCTTATTTAAAAAGACCTAATGGATTCTTTATTAATACAATCAATTGGTTAGGGAAACATAAAGAATAAAGTGACTTTTAAGTGTATGTAAGTATATGTTTTTTTTTTCCTTTAAAGAAAGACTACTCATTGGTAGTAAAAAACACTGATGATAAGCATGTGTTGAGCTAAACTATACCAAGATGTCTGGAGACAATAAGTTGGAGGAAATATGCTGTGTATTAAAGATATAATAGTTAATCCATTATTATGGTGAATTAGAGTTTAAATTGGTACAGTTGTATAAAATTATAATCTGAGACATACTTTGTTTTTTATACAGATGACGATTTTTGGGGTTTTGTTTAAATTTTGGCCTCAGTTTTGTGAATTTAGGAAGAACTTAACCGATGAAAAAATTATGAGTGTTTTAGAGAGACGACAAGAATATAATAAGCAGAAAAAAAAAATTGCAGTCATGGAAGACGAAAAATTTGCAAAGGTGAGATGACTTATTTTGGATTTAATCAGACTTTTAAAAAGGTATTTGATATGTGTGACTTTATAGAAGACTTTAGGCTGCAGAAAAATACGGAAGAGTTATAGAATACAGATTTTAGTGGCTTTAAGCCTTCAGTCAGAAGTTTCAGACTTGGTTCTGAATTCTTTGAAATTCATCTCAAATGTCCTCTCTTTCTGTGTGAAGGCTTTCTTGACACCCTCCTAGGCAACTCAAGCAACTCATACCCACAGTAGTCATATTCCTCCCTCTTTTGGGGAACATTTTCTGTTGTCTTGTGATTAAGTTTTTATATCTGTCATCCTCACTGGATTGAGATCCTCGAGAACAGTATCTGCTTATTCATCTGTGTCTCACAAACACTTAACACCAGTGTGCAGCGCATGCTCAATTGTTAATCATTGCTTACTGACTAAATCAGGAATTAATTAATTAATTAATTAAAAATTTTTATGGTTTGGGGTCTTACATTTAATTCTTTGTGCTCAATTGTTAATCATTGCTTACTGAATAAATCAGGAATTAATTAATTAATTAATTAAAAATGGGAAAAAAAAATTCTGTACCAGAGGCAGCACTTTCAGTATTACAATTACAGAATGATACATTGACTGTGAAATTTACAAATGTGAATCATAAGTTGTTCAGCCTACCTGTTTTTTTAATTTTATTTTATTATTAGTTTCAAGTGTACAGTACATTGGTTAAACATATATATAGTTTATAAAACAATTCCCCTAATTGCTCCTTCTCTCCTCTGGCTCTCCACCTACATTACATCAATGCTGAACTGCATAGACTGTCTTTACCCCATTCTATATTCTTACCTCCTTTGTCATAGATTAAGTGAGCATATAGGTGTGGATTTATTTCTGGACTCTCTTCTGTTCCATTGATCAATATATCTGTTTTTATGCCAGTACCATGTTGTTTTGATTACTGTAGCCTTGTAGTATAGTTTGATATCAGATGTTGTGATACCTCCAACCACAACAAAATATCACAGACTGAATGATTTAAACAACAGAAATTCATTTTCTCACAGTTCTGGAGACTAGAAAGAAGTCCCATATCAAGTGGCCAACTGATTCAATTGTTGATGAGAGTTCTCTGCTTTGTTTATAAATGGCTGCCTTCTCCCTGTATTCTCCTAAGGTAGAGAAACAAAGAGATTTCTTTCTCTTTTCCTCTTATTAGGCCACAATTCCTATGGATTAGGGCTCCACTCTTATGACCTCATTTAACCTGAATGACTTCTCACAGACTCTATCTTCACATACAGTCATACTGGAAGTTAGGGCTTTAATACATAAATTTGGGGTGGGGGGTTGCACAATTCAGTCCATAGCACATATTGTGCAACGTGTCTTTCTATATCTTATTTTTAAACTTAATTTTGTGTTTTAATTCTACCCACACAGATATACCTGTATCTAGTTTATTCAATTTAATTCCTGCACACTCTTCCATCATATGAATAAATATACTGTTTTTATTTAACTATTTCTCTATTGTCGGATATTTGTTTCCAGTTTTTACCTTTACGAACAGCCCTTCAGACAACATTACTGTAACTATTCATATGTACAAAAAAAAATTGGGATTGCTGAATAGTGTAGAATATGTGCGTTTTTAGTAGAGTACGTGCTACCATTTTGTTTTCTCTGCGAATGTGTCGGTTTATATTTCTACCAACAGTACATGAGACTACTGCTTTTTCCCACTTGGTAATCCCTACTTGGTATGTTCAGATTTTGAAATTTTTGCCAATCTTAGAATGGCAAATAGTATTCATCATGATAATGCATTTGTTTCCATTTTCCTAATTATTAATAAGGTAGAGCAACTCTTCACTTGTTAACTATTTGGATATTTGGATCAGGATTGTAATGAACCTATTGATTAGGGAAAATTTATGTCATAACAATATTGTGTCTTCTATACATAAACACAGTATATCTTTATTTGGTTCAATAGTTTTCAATGACATATCTTAAATGTGTTTTATAAAATTTATTCCAAAGTATTTTATATTCAAAATATTGCTGTTGCTATGATATTTTTCAATTTAAATTACAAATGATTTTTAGAAAAATTTATTTTGAAATAATATCCTCAAAAAGTTGCAAAGATAGTAGAAAAGTCCCATGTACCCTCACCCAGTTTTTCTCAATGGCCACATCTTACAATAGTAAAGATAGGAAATTGATATTGATACAAGATGTATAGTTTTATACCATGTTATCACATGTGCAGATTCAAGTTAACAACACCACCTTCAGGATGCACCACAAAGATCTCCCTTGTGACTAGGACATGTTCACACAATTATCCCTAGTGTCTGACAGCCAGGAGTCTCTTCTCTATTTCTGTGATTTGTCATTCTGAGAATGCTGTATAAATGGAATCATAGAGGATGTGACTTTGAGACTAGCTTTTTTCACTCAACATAAATGCCCTTGAGATCCATCCAAGTCGTATATATCCACAGTTCATCCTCCTTATTGCTGAGTAGTGTTCTATGGTACCTCTATGCCACATTTTAACCATTCACTCATTAAAGGACATTCGAGTTGTTTTCTGTTTTAGGCTATTACAATAAAATATTACTAGAGTTACTCCTTCTTTTTAGAAGTTACTTTCTTCTTTTTTTTTTTTTTTGTTTGAGTACTTTAATAATAGCTTTACTGAAATTTAATTCACAAAACCATAAATTTACACTTTTGAAGAATACAATTTTGGTTTTTATGAGTCATGCAATCATCACTACTACTTAATTTTAGAATATTTTCATCATCCCAAAAAGGAGCTCTGTACCTGTTAGCTAGCATTCTTCTCTTCTTCCAGTCCCTGGAAGCCACTAATCTACTTTCTACATTTGGACATTTCATATAAATGAAATCATAAAACACATGGGTTTTTGTAATTGGCTTAGTTCACTTAGTATAATATTTTTAAGGTTCATTCATGTTGGAGGATTTATCAGTACTTCATTCTTTTTATAGACAAATAATATTCTACTGTATGGCTGTACTACATTTTGTTTATCCATTTATCAGTTGATGTACATTTGGGTGGTTTCCTCTTTTTAGTTATTATGAATAATGGTGCCATGCAAATTCTCGTACAGTTTTATGTGTGGACATATGTTTTCATTTTACTTGGAAGCTAAAAGCTGAATTGTTGGCTCATGTGATAGCTGTATATTTAACCTTCTGAGGAACTGCCAAACTTCTCCCAAGCTGCAGAACCAGCTTGCTCTCCTTTGGTATTTGCATGGTTTATCTTTTTCCATTCCTTTGCTTTACTACCTACGTCAATATTTTTTATTTAAGTTTCCTGTAAACAGCATATATAATTATTATTTTTTTAATCTACACTGTCAATCTCTGTCTTTTAACTGCTGTATTTAGTCTATTTATCTTTAATGTAATTATTGATATGATAGTTCTTAAGTCTGCCATTATATTTTTTTGTTTGTTCCTTTTATTTTATTCTTTTCTGTTTCCTTTGTTTTTCATTCCTGTGGATTACTTGAACATTTCTTAGAATTTCATTTTGGTGTATTTTTTTGTTTAGATATTTTAGTTGTTAGTTTAGATATTACATTATATATACTTATCAGTCTATTGGCGTTAATAGTTTACCAGGTTGAATACAGCTTAGAAACCACCTCCCTTTATGTCTATGTCCCTTTCCTGTCATCTGTTTACATATCTTAACTATTTCCTCAATATATATAGAGAACCATTAGACAATTTAATAATTTTTCCCCTCTTTAATTCTGCCCCCAATACCCCACTTCCACCTCTGACCTACGGATGTTGCTGTCTCCCCTTAAGAACCGGATCTCTGAAGGCAGGGCATCTCCTCTCACAAGCTCGCAGCACGCACCCAGGGCCTGGTGCTCCTGGGGGCCTGGCACCCCTGGAACATTCGAGGGGCCTGGCACACCCGGGATATGGTACGTGGCTCCACCTGGGACACGAACCTAGGACCTTCTGCATGTAAAGCAGACATGCTAACCGCTACACTATGGGGCCACCCCCACAATTTAATAATTTTTGCTTCAACCATCAAACATAAATTAGGAAACTCAAGGGAAAAGAAAAGGCTATTCTATTTACTTTTCCCTAGGTAAGGTATTGTTTCTCATATACTGCTTTCAAGATTTTTTTGTCTTTAGTTTCAGAATTTCGATTATGATGTGTCTTGTGTGCATTTCTTTGGGTTAATTCTGTTTGAGGGTTGCTCAGTTTTTTGAGCTTGTAGGTTAACATCTTTTGCCAACTTTGGAGAGGAGATTTGTATACATATTACATATGTATATATACACTTTCTGATCTACATATATTATTTTTATGCATATTATATATTATTTATATATATGTATGGATGTGTGTAAAATGATGTATATCAATCCCTATCTATCTGTCTGTCTTCCTATCTATTCAGTCAAATCTCTTCTCCTTTGGACACATTCTAGCTTAAGTTCTAAGATATTTTTGGCTTTTTCTACAGTCTTCGTTTAAGTTCAAATAACTATCATTTTACGTTTTTCATATTTTTTGTCTGTTTGTCTTGAGTTTCTGGATTTATGATTTGGAGTATTCTCTCATATATGTAAATGTTCCTGTAGGAATATTTAATTCATTTTGGGCTTTTATGTTATAGTTTTCCTCTGATTCATTATTGGATTTCTTGGAGAGTAGTGTCATCAACTGAAATGTTGGAGTTCTTATTTTGTTTTATTTTTATAGTGGTTTTATATGGATATCACTTGCCATATAACAGAATACTGTGCTCTGATGAAAAGCAAATAAACTATAACCACAATAATAAACATAGATGAATATCAAGAGTATGATGTTGAGTGGGAAAGTTGCAAAAGAGTAAATTGAACCAGTCAATTCTATTTATTTAAAGTTCAAAATTATGCAAAACTAAGCAATACTAATGTGGTAAACTATAAACAAAAAGGAATGGTTACAAAGTTCAGTATAGTGATTACCTTTATGGGTGAGGCAGAGATAGATGAGGAGATTGAGAAGTAACACAAAGGGAAACAAAGGTCCTCATAATATTGTACTTCCTAAGCTTGAGGGATGTTGTTATTATTCATATATTATGTGTGTGTCATAAATATTTTCATAGGTATTTAATTACATTTTTGTATGAGTGAAGGTACAAAAAAGTAGATTGGACTTTCAGAAGTTCATCTGTGCTGATGTGTTGTGTCATCTGGAGGTTGAGGTTATTTCCAGTACAGAGTGGGAATCAAGGAAGGAATAAGAACCAGAAAATAGAAGGTGCCTACAAAACCTTGCTTCTAATTCTTCACACTGTACTTCATATATTTCTGTTGATGTGTTATGAGTTCTATAACCATGGGGCAAATTCATATATATAAATGAAATGTTATTAAATGTAATTATTTTTGGATTATTTATTTTTAAATTTTTCACAATTATTTCACTTCCAATGGTTTAGATGATAAATGATAAATAAAATAACACCAAATCCGATTTTTTTCTCCAACTATGCATCTAGTCCATACTATGTAATATGATAAGGAACAGAGTTCGCTAGATTAAAATCTTCATATTTAACTTCTCCAGTGTCTTAAGGCAAGTCCATATCCAAATGATCTGCATGAATATGATAGTTGATTGGTTCAGGAAGTAAAGGTAATTGGATTGATTTAGGGGGAAGAGAAAAAAGAATGTTGTCTAACATCTGTGCTTGGAGCTCTTTTCTGTTCAGCCTGTGGCATGTGAATGACTTCACCAATCTGATGAGCCTCACATGAGTCTGCTGTATTTTCTGCTGATGTGTTCTAAATAGTTTCTCAACAGAGCTTTCATTCTAATCCTTTTGTTCTTTCTTTCACTAGACTTTTATTAATCATCTACTACATAGAGTTTCTTGATTGTCCACTACATATTGATCCCTACTACATATGCTAGGGATGTGAATATAATTTACATATAATATAAGGGTAGATAAACACATTTCACACGTGCACTTATTTTAACATGGAAAATACAAGGTAAGGAAGACCATTAGAGCAGAAGATGTTTATTCCGGTATTTCATTGTCAGTGAAGACACATGAGAAAATGTTGGAAAAATGAATATAGGAAACCCATGGTTTTTTTTTGTAACATAAAAATGTATGCTGAAAAAAAATCAGTTACTGTGAAAAGCATTGGATTTCCCTATGTAACCATGGGTATGACTCTTAACGCTCTTAACCCAATTACACCTATCAACTAATGATGATAATGTTAATCTCACATGATTTGAGAGAAATTAATTGAAATGATATGTATATAAAAGACCATGTAAGCTATTCCACAATTATATATTTGTAAGGTATTATTTGATCTGAGACAGTATAGCATAGTGGACAGGAGTACAGTATCTAGAGTCAGACCATCTGGTTTTGAATCCTGGCCTTACTTACCATCAATCTGTCCTAGTATCTTAGGTAACCAACTTCACTTCCCAAAACCTCATTTTTTCAGTAAAATAAAAATAGTAATAGAATTTACATCACAGGGTTGGATTAAAAATATATGTGAAGCACAGGCATGTCATAAAGTAAAAGTTATTATTATCTTATTAATATTGTAGCAGTAATTGTTCTTTATAACAAAAATACTAATATCAAATATATCTTCCATTTCCTGTTCTTATGAAGAAATAAAATGGAACTGGGTAATCTGAAGAAAGTTATAATGGAAGAAAGAGAATCTCATTAAAACTTTCATCTAGTTTAATGTAATCTAGTTTAATATTAAGTACTTAAAATAAACAGTGGAAAATTAATTAAAGAATCACAGTGTTTTAACTAAATAAATATTTTAAACTTTTAAATGGCAAATATAAACACGGTTAAAAGACAAATTAGGAAAACAAAATATATGATGTAAGTTGTAAAAAATAAATAATAAAAAAGGTAAATACTCCTCAGAAAAATTGGGCAAAGGGTATTATCAGGCAATTCACAAAAAATATGCAAATGATTAAAAGTATTAAAAGATGTTCAGCCTCTCTGGTAACCTAAAACACGCAAACTGGCAATGAAGAAAATACCCAGTGTTGGTTGAGGGTATGTGAAGAAGACTACAAACTCATGTGTTACTGGAGAAGGCGTAAAATGGTACTTTGTTTCTGAAGGGCAATTTGACAATATATATTGTTTAAAATGTACATTATTTTTAATCTAGCAAATATACTTCCTGAAATTTATTCTAAAGTCAAGAACTGGAAAAATTCACCAAGATGTGTGTACACGGCATCATTTATAATAGCAAAAAATTTAAAATGACCTAAATTTCTAATAGTGGGCATTGATTAAATTATCTATGGTACATCCCTTTACTAGAATATTACTCATGTGTTGAAACAGTGATGTAGTTTATTCTTTTATTATTTAACAAATATTTGAGTGCATAAGACCATTCTCCCATTGAAAACAATGATGTAATTTATTCATTTTATCATCCAACAAATATCCAAAGGCATACTCCGCGTTCTACAGTAGGCATACTTGGAGAATGATACAAAGACCCTACCTTTTATATTCCTGAAAAAATATAGAAAAAATATTCTATATTTATTCACATAGAAACATTTTTACAACATTTAACATAAAACATTTTTAAAGAATATATACTGTGATTCCATTTGTATGAAATTTAATAAAATATAAATATTAAAATTATAGATTAAATCTACACATTGAGAAATTAAGATAAATGTTCATGAAAATGTTTATAGTGATTTTGCTTGGCTACTAGAATTTGGGGGTGATTTTTACCTTCTACTTCATTATTTCTCTCATTTGTTTTTAATATTTTTATATTAGTATGACAGAAAACTAAAGGTCAAAACAGTAGATTATGTCTCATTAGTGATATTGATGAAACCTCAAACGTGGTGCTCCCCACAATTATTTTTTCTTATGATTATGACTTCTTAACCCTACATTTATATTAATATAGCATTATCCCTTTTTTGGAATAATTTAATTTAATATAATTACAGGATGGAGTCAAACAATATACAAGTACTTCAGGAACTTCTATCAAAACACCTGTTTTAAGCAATGGCCCAGTTTTAGGCCTGCAAGCATATGGCCGACAGGTAAGCAAGAAAAATGTCACAGATGATCACTTCCTATAGAGCACTGAATAGTGGAATGCAACAGCTCAGTCATTTTATAGTAGTAGAGTTGTGTTTGTTTGAAAATGAGGCTAAAATTATACTAGGAGAGATTGGAAGGGAATTTCCTTGAGCCTCTAGAGAACATTAAAATTTCAATTGATCCCGGACAATATAATCAAGGAAAATAATTTCCTGATGCATATAAAGATTTCAAGAGGCACAAGTTAAAATGACCATCTTTTTGGAAAAGAGAGAATAAGGCAGATAAAGAACAAGATAGAATATGTATAGGTTGATATAGTCTTGGGTTAAGAGAAGAAAGAATGTTGATGCTTAGTCTCAATTTTTTTTAAATTTTATTTTATTAGTGTTAAGTATACAGTAAATTGGTTAGATGTGGTCATAAAATTGGCCAGTATATGACCATCGACTAATACATTTTCAGTTTTTATGTTTATATTTATAACTTGTACATTAATATCACTTGTTTAATTTATGTCCATTTTTAATGACTTTGTTGGTGGTGGTGGTGGTGTTTCAAGTTTATTGTAGAGGTAATCCTAGCTATTTCAAGTACAGCATTTTATACATAATTCATTCAGTTGTATGGATTCACTCATTTCCATCTAACACTTTCTGCATATTTATATAGCCTCAAGTAAAAGGACTCCTTCAGATAGTCTAAATCTTGGTCAAATGAACCCCAAGTCATTTACTGCAGTCACGATTTTAGTGTTCTGAAAGGGTGGTACAGTAAGAATATTTACAGATGTTATCTGAGCAGTGTGTATTCCTGCCTAGTGTGCTACATGCCGCACAAGCATACTCAATGAAAGACAAAAGGCAAAGCAGCACTAATGACTTTGGAATCAACAACTTGGGGCTTTTTTATTCCATAATATCCAGAATTGCACCTAGCCTCCAGGAAAGCTCTGCTTTAGAGGGGCTGAACAAACCAGACCCCCCTCTATGCCTCTGTTCATGCCATTACCTATACATGAAATGCTTCCTCTCTCCTCTCCCCCCACCCCAAGTTCTATACATCTTTCCATGCTCAGCTCAAAATATATGCTCCCTGTTATGCTTTTCATCATGGTACCCCCTCCTTCAGTCATGGGGGTAATTAATAATACACTGACAACTACAAGGCATTATTAAAAGAAATTGAAGAAAACATAAAGAAATGGAAAATATTCCGTGTTCATGGATTGAAAGAATCAACATAGTTAAAGTGGCCATATTACTCAAAGCAATATGCAGATTTAATGTAATTGCTATCAAAATCTCAACTGCATTTTTTAAAGAAAAAGAACAAAAAGTCATTAGATTTGTATGGAATCACTAAAGACCCTGAATAGCCAAAGCTATTCCTGAGAAAAAATAGCAAGGTCAGAAGTATCATCACACTGCTTGACTTCAAATTATCTTACAAAGAGGCAATAATCAAAACAGCATGGTATTGGCAGGAAAACAAGACATACAGATCAATGAAACAGAATTGAGAGCCTAGAAATAAACTCACATGTATATGGGGAAATAATTTTCAACAAAGGAGCCCAAAACATACAATGGAGGAAGGGAAACCTCTTCAATAAATGGTGCTGGGAAAACTGGAAAGCCACATGCAAAAGAATGAAACTAAACTGTTGTCTATCATCACACACCAAAATTAACTCAAAATAGATCAAAGACCTAAATATAAGACCTGAAACAATAAATTAGCATAGAAGAAAATGTAGGTACTAAACTCATGGACCTTGGATTTAGAGATGATTTTATGAATTTGACCTCAAAGGCAAGGGAAGTAAAAGCAAAAATAAAGGAATCAAACTATATCAAGCTGAAAAGTTCTGCAGAGCAAAAGAAACCATCAGTAAAAGAGCCAGCCAACTGGATAGAAGATATTTGCAAACAGTGCCTCTGATAAGGTGCTAATAGCCAAAATATATAGAGAACTCATACAACCCAACGACAAAAAAACAATCAAATTAAAAACTGAACAAAGGACCTGAACAGATACTTCTCCCAAGAAGACATAAAAATGGCCAACAGACATATGAAAAGATGCTGAACTTCACTAGCTGTTAAGGAAATGCAAATCAAAACCACAATGAGATACCTATCTCACATCTGTTAGAATGGCTACCATCAACAAGACAAATAATAACAAGTGTTGGAGAGGTTGTGGGCAAAAAGGAACCCTCATATACTGCAGGCAGGAATGTAACTTGGTACAGCTACTATGGAAAACAGTATAGAGGGTCCTCAAAAAATTAAGAATAGCATTACCAAGCAATTGCTCTTCTGGGCAGCCATCCAAAACATTTGAAAACATTTATCTATAAAAATATATGTACCCTGCTCTTCATAGCATCATTACTCACAGTGGCCAAGACATGGAAACAACCGAAGTGTCCTTTGATAGATGATGTGGTACATATATACAATGGACTATTACTCAGCCACAAGAAAAGATGAAATACTGCCATTTGCGACAACATGCTAAGCAAGATAAGTCAGACAGAAAAAGTTGAGTACCATATGATTTCACTTATATGTGGGATATAAAACTGAAAGCAACAAACGAACAAGACAAACAAAAACTTGCAGATACAGACAGCAGTTTAGTGATTAACAGCGAAAGGAGGGAAAGGGGAAGGTAGGCAAGAGGAAAGGGCATCAAATATATGGTGATCGAAGGAGATTTGACTTTAGGTGTTAAACACACAATGCAATTGATACAGATAATGTATTATCAAATTATCAAATTGAAACCTATATAATTTTATTAACCAATGTCACCCCAATAAATTTTTTATAGTAGATACATAAACTAGTAACATAGTAACTTATTATCGTTATCAAGTATTATATACTGTACATAACTGTACTTTTATACTACTGATAGTGCAGTAGATTTGTTTATACCAGCACATGTGAGTGATGCATTGCATTACACCATCACGACGGCTACAATGTCACTAGATGATTGAAAGTTTTCAGCTCCAATATAATCTTAAGGGACTACCATCGTATATACAGTCCATAACTGATCAAGACGATGTTATTCAGAGCATGACTGTATTGTATTTAACTTAGCATAGCAAGATTTTTTAAATAGGAACAACAAAGAATTCTAGAAGAATTCGAATGTTTAGATATGGTCGCATTATATTTTTAATTTTCTTTTTTATTAGTTTCAGATGTAGAGCACAATGGTTGAACATTTATGTAATTTATGAAGTGATCCCCTCTGGTTACTCTAGTACCCATCTAGCACTTACGTAGCCATTACAGTATTGCCGCCTGTATTCCCTGTGCTGTACTTCACATCCTGTGACTGTTTTTTAACTACTAATTTGTACTTCTTTGTCCCTTTATCTTTTTCACCCTGTTTCCTTCCCCGCTGCACTCTGGCTATCACCAGTTTGTTCTCTGTATCTGTGAGTCTGTTTTAGTTTTGTTTGTTTGTTTCCTTTGTTCCTGAGATTCTACATATAAGTGATGTCATATGGTATTTGTCTTTCTTTGTCTGACTTATTTCACTCAGCATAATACCCTCTAGGTCCATTCATGTTGTTGCAAAAGGTAAGATTTTATTTTTTATGGCTGAGTAATATTCCATTGTATGTATGTACCATAATTTCTTTATCCAGTCATCTATCGATAGGCAGTTAGGTTGATTCCATATCTTGGCTATTGTAAATAGCACTATAGTAAACATAGGGGTGCATAAATCTGTATAAATTAGAGTTTGGGGGGGGGTTGCATAAATACCCAGAAATGCAATTGCTAGGTCAAAAGATGGTTCTATTTTTAATTTTTTGAAGAACCTCAATGCTGTTTTCATAGTGGCTGTACTACATCCTTGCCAGCACTTGCTGTTTTCTGATTTATCTATGATAACCAATCCAACAGATGTGAGATGCTATCTCATTGTGGTTTTAATTTGCACTTCTCTGATGATCACTTACTTTGAGCATCTCTTCATATATCTATTAGCCATCTGTGTTTCCTCTTTGGAGAAATGCCTATTTAGGTCTTCTGCCCATTTTTTAATTGGATTATTTTTTTTGGTGTTGAATTGTATGAGTTCTTTATAAATTTTGGATGCATTTTCAGATGTATCATAGGCAGGTATCTTTTTCCATTGAGTAAATTGTCTTTTTGTTTTGTTGACAGTTTCCTCTGCTGTGCAAAAACTTTTAAGCTTGATGTAATCCCATTTGTTTATTTTTCCTTTTGTTTCCCTGGCCCCAGGAGATATATCATAAAAAAAAAATCACTAAGAGCAATGCAGAGAGTTTACTGCCTATGTTTTCTTTTAGGAGTTTTATGGTTTCAGGTCTTATATTTAAGTCTTTAACCCATTTTGAGTTTGTTCTTATATGTGGTGTAAGAAGTTTGGTCTACTTTCATTTTTTTGCATGTATCTGTCCAGTTTTCCCAACACCATTTATTGAAGAGACTATCTTTATCCCATTGTATATTCTTGCCTTCTTTGTCATAGATTACTTGAGTAAATAGGCATGGGTATATTTCTGAGCTCTCTATTCTGTTCCATTGATGTATGTGTCTATTTTTATGCCAATACCATGCTGTTTTGATTACTGTAGCCTTGTAATATAGTTTGATATGAGGTAGTATGATACCTCCAACTTTATTCTTCTTTTTCAAGATTGCTGTTGCTATTTGGGATCTTTTATGTTTTCATGTAAATTTCTAGATTATTTGTTCTAGTTCTGTGAAAAATGCCATTGGTATTTTGATAGGGATTGCACTAAACCTATAGATTGCTGTGGGTGCTATGGATGATTTAATGATGTTGATTCCTCCTACCCATGAGCACGGT